GAGCATTAGCGTTTGATATGCGTGTAAGATGAAACTCAACTTATATAATATTTCAACAATGCATCCCTTATAAGGATGCTATAACAAACTATATGCGTGTAAAATTAAGAGTATAACATATAGACGCATATGATTGGCAAATTATTAAAGTTTTTAATTAATTTTTAGGTAGGTTTCATGAAGTTACTTCAAAGCTTAGTAGAACATATTACCCAACATCACCTTTAGCTTTAGGTGAACTTTTAAGAATTAGTATTTTATTTAGTGAATATAGGGCGGACCCAATGTTAGGAGTTCCTATCCATTCTATGGAAAACATTTTAAAAAATATTGGTCTAAGTTGCCTTTGTTATATGGTTTAGGTACCATTTTTTATCCTAGATTAAAATTAGACAGTTTAGAAAGTGATTTAGAAAACTTATGTGAATTGTTTGGCATCAATTGTTCGGACCAATTTCCAACAATAAAGGAAAAAATATTTTCGATCTATAGTAAATATGAGAATAGGTTTAGAAGCACAAAGTCTGAAGTACAGGAACCGCAACAACAAAATAAAAACCCGCATTCATTCTTGAATGTTTTCGGGTTGAAGAAGAAGAAGAAGACAACTCAAACAAAAGTTGGGAGTGGATTTTCATCAACAGGTGGCAGCAGCGGCTTCAACGAGCTTATGGCGTACCTCAGTGAGAGCTTAGTAGTCGACGATACTACAGAATCATTTGACTTAGCTCAATGGTGGAGGGCACGAGTATTAACTTGGCCCATCCTAACTCGATTGGCAATAGATATATTTTCGATCCAAGTCTCCACTGTCTCATCCGAACAAGTTTTTAGTACGACAGGACGAATACTCGAGGAACATCGAAACGCATTGCACATGGACATTGTTGAAGCCTTGGTCTGCATTAAGGATTCGGATCATGTCGATCAATGTCTACATGATACAATTTCGCCGGCAAACCAAGAATTGATCGATGAATTTAATAGATTAACATTTAATTTTGAAGACGATCCTTCAGCTTCAAATTAAATTGTAAATTTGTAATTTGTAAATACGTATTTGCTTTTGACATTGTAATTGTATAACTTTGTAAGTTTGTAAAATTTATAATTCGTCACATAATGATTGCACTATTTTTTCATTACTACGTTTTTATCCCAATTGGGTTTTTCTTATTAGATTTTTAACGAGACAATCATGAATTACGAATTTAAAAATTAATATACAAAATTAATTTATTAAATTGTGTTAATAATGTGTGTTGAATATTAATTTTAGTTTTTATATAATTTTTTAACACAATAACTTAATAATTATAAAAATTAAAAATATAAAAAAAATTCAGGCATTTTGGGCTGGCCCGGTCAGCCAAATACAGGCCGGCGGCCCGTTCACGGTCTTTCTCGGGCTCGGGCGGGCGGCCTAAAAATTTCAGATTGGTCAGGTCAGGCATCGGGCAAAAACTCAGTATTTTCGGGCGGTCGCGGGCAGCCCGTCCTAAGTTCCAGCACTAACTCCTATATTCTGTTTGAGTTGTCTTCTTCTGCTTCTTCAACCTGAAAACATTCAAGAATGAATGCGGGTTTTCATCTTGTTGTTGTGGTTCCTGTACTTTAGTTTGTGCTTCTAAACCTATTCTCATATTTACAAAAGATCAAAAAATGGTTGGAAATTGGTCCGAACAATTGATTCTTAAAAATTCACTTAAGTTTTCTAAATTATTTTCTAAGAGTATATTTTACTATAACAAATGGTACCAAAATGATTTTATCGCAAAACACATGGAAAAAAATTACCGTAAAAAACATTCATAACATAAAAAAAGAACCAAACACTTAAAAAATAAAAAATAGAGAAAGTAAAAAAAGAAAAAAAAAAGGGAAGGGGGTTTACCACGTGGCAGTATGAAAAGTGCTCACTAAATAACTTTTGATATGATAGAAATTATGCAAAAATAATCAAGTAGTGACACATTTAGAGAAAATTATTTTAACCCTTGAAAGAAAATTAAATAGAAGCATGATCAAAAGAAAATTACTTACATGGGAGTAAAGTGAGAAAAATTTTAAAAAACTCATGTAAAAAATTAAATTGCAAAAAGTTCACAAAATAATAAATAAAAATTAAAAAGCAAAACATTTAAAAGATACAAATATAAAAAAAAAAAGAAGGGAAAAAATAGAGGACAGGCCACCACGTGACAACCTCAAAAGAAAATATTATTACTAATATTATTACAAGAGTTTTCGCTCGCTTATATATTATTAAATTAATTGTGATACTTAACACTGATATTTTTTTAATTAGTGGAGGAAAAAGTATTGAACATTTAAGTAACATGGTACCAAGATGCAGTGGCTTTTTGTTTTGCCGATCCAAGAAGCGGTGGCTTTTGTTTGTACATCAACGTTCACTTCAAAAGTATGGAAATTCATAGGAACAGACAAATTGTTAACTAGTGTGAAGGAATTGATATTATTCATAGGAGTTGATATTACGATCGGCGCCGGGGTTTGTAGGAGATTTTTCGACGCTCAAATCAGGAAAGTATCTTAATGTTGGCTAAAAAGAATGAAAGAATTAAGATAAAGAAGAAGAGAATTTAGAGATTGGCCCTCTTGTTGTTCTCATTACTTTCTATTTATATGACACATGTCATGATTAAATAAATATTTCTAATTCACTCCGATCATGACACGTCATCATCCATTTTCTTTTAGAGTTTCTCTAAGGATATCCCTTTTTTGAAATTCCTTCAGAGGTCTCCCTCAGTAGAAAAGATCGCTTTTCATTCCGTTATTCACCTTTACAAGTGTCATACCCGGATTGAACGCATTTATTAAAGATGATAGTGGGGTGTGTGCCACTGTACGAAGATTCTCCTTCTAATACAAGTCATCCCCGCTATCTCCCTCAATCTTGGTCTATGTTGCCTTCTTAGCATCGGAGTTCTCTGTCGACCTCGCTCTCGCTCTCGATCTCAGTCTCAGTCAGTCCACTTCAGTCAAGGTCACGTCCTCTCTCAATCGAGATAGGATTCAGTCTGCGGTTTAGTTAACACATTCGACTTGGGTTTTAGTACCTTATTCCAATTTCGTTATGTGACATGTGTCGTGATCTCAAAAGTCTTTGAGAAAATCCCCAAATAGGCTCTGATATTCATGAATGGATATTCTACATGTTTATCTTGGTTCACTAAATGATTATCTAGCGCAGAAAGAATTATCTTGTTGGCTAGTACGTGAAAATTCCATAATAATACTCAACGTTCTTTGCAGCATATGACAAAGCCTTCCTATGAAGTATCATGTGATCAAGTGAAGAAATAAAAGAAAATTAGAAAAAGAAAAAAAAAACACTTTTAATTTATTAGAGAACATCTGAATCTCCCTGCCAATAGCTTATCGAAACTTTTTTTTTTTTAATCATTACCTGTCCTTTTGCCTTGTAAATTTCTTCAGCCTTTCTTCAGTGAAAAAGGGCGGCAAAAAAAAAGAAAAAAAAAAAAAAACGAAAATAAGATGAGAAAATCATCCATAGAAGCTCATCAATTCTTCAAACAAATTCAATCACACCCTCGATTTTGAATCACTGAACGATGATAAACTCCATTCCTCGTCGATCGGCAGCACTCCACTCCTACTATATTTCAGGCGTGGTTAAAAAGCAAAGTGACGTGTTGGCAAGAAACTTTTTTACATTTGCGTACCCTTTAAATCCAATTAGAAGAAAAGTGGTCCGTTTTATTGATTTAAATTTAGAATTTAAATTTTATTATAATAAAAAATTTAAAAAAATAATCACATTTAATTTTTTTATTACATAAAAAAGTTTCACATAAAATCACATCTCAACTCAAATTAAAAACTCGAATTACCAAACTAAAAATGATCCTAGATAAAAACAAGTTGAAGGGTCACACAAATCCCAAAGTGAGGACATAGAGCCACCACACGGCTCTATAAAGCCAAGAAGAAGATGAATATTGCTTTGTACTGTATACATATTACGTGTTAAATATGGTATTTGCTAGCCTAATAATCATCTCCTTGAATGTACCAGCAGAGTAACATGGTTAGTTGATTTATTAGGGGCTATTTTAGAGCAAATTAAGATTTTTAGATTATTTTTTTATTGTTTAAGTATGCCGCCTCAGTATTAAATGGACGGAATGTAACAGAAGGGGTGTTTTCGTTAACGTTTAAAAATTCGAAGGGTGTGCGTATCACTTTTTAAAGTTCAGAAAGCAAGATGACATAGTAATTAAAGTTCGGAGGGTAAAAATAAAATTTACACTAATCTTTTAATCAACACAGTATAAAATGTGTATAGGAGTTTTCTACAGTCCTATACGGTAACAGGGAGTATATTTTATGTAACAATGATTCTTAAAAGATGATCTGAGATGAATGAATTCCTTCTTCGTTACAACTTTTTAAATTTATTGTAATTGTAAAGACAGATTCCTTGTTCTAGCTCAACCTTTCAACCTTCGCATGCCATTATATATTATACCCTGCTACATCTATCTATATTGATGCAGCGGAATGGAGAAATAATAGGATTTTACCGGCCCAACCTGGACGGAGGATTCTCAAATAGGAAATACCCCCAAATTGGAGAGAAAACTCGAGTCTAGTATTCAATTCTCAAATATTCAAAGTCTCCTAATATGATTACTAAGTCGCTATTTATAGCTCACATAGAAAGCGATAATAAAATAACAACTAAGATAAACGGCTACTAATAACAAAACTAAAGCTAAATTAAAAAACTAGAGCAAACGACAATAAAATATAAAAAACGATTACCTATATTTAGAACTCCCTACATCATATATCCACTGATAAGACACAAATGAGCAACACCCTATTCTGAGTGAGAATTATTGTATCTTATAATGGACAGTAATATCCTTGGAGGCTATCAAGATCAAATTACTAAGCAGTTATTTTCACTTGCTTTTAAGACATGAAAAACTGGATTCCTAAGAATACTCTACGTTCAACAAAACACTGATTTCTTCTCTTCATATCTTAAAAATGAAGGGCCCCATGACATCAAATAACCAATATTTCCAACTATGCAAGCGTTTACTCACATTAAGCATTCAAACAATTAGTACAAAAGAGGTGTGTCAAAAAGATTACTGTACAGTTCAGAAAAATGACTATTATATCGGCAGAAACAAGGAATGGCCAACGGTATGCTTCCTTACTTGAAGATATGCACAAGCAAAGTGCTAAAACAAGTTTGTACCTCCATATGTTGCCTTGCGAAGAAACCTCATTCACAAGCAGTAACCCATACTAATATAATGCTCCACTGTAACAGCAGACTTCGCCAGCTGAATCAAGGGTTATAGTTACCAACTTCCAGCCTTCGCCAAACTTCTTTGACCACGAGCAGCAAGCAACTCATAATCCTGCATATATATTATCACAAGGGGCTAAATGCTAGGCACGTTATAAAGACTTTTAATGTTTTGTTATTATTATCGAATCTTATTTTTCGTCATCAAGCTCATTCTTTCTTTTATTTCCAAACTGATTAAAACCTTTCCCTCTGCTCCTTTTCACTGCAATAAAAAGTCACCATTTACTCTCTCTCTCTCTTTTTCTTTTTTCGGCACTGTTCAAGAGTTTTCTATCGAACAATACCCATTACCAAAGAACTAATTCAAGAAAAACGAAGAAATCATAGCTAAACATTGAACCAAATATAAACATGGACTTTTCTGGAGGCAACAAAGTCGATTTCTTATGCCAGTTGTAGGAAAGGTTCTCATTCTAGTCACTGCCGAGATTTCAATCGAATGAAGTATGACAGAAATAATGAGAAAATAGTACACGAGAACCACTGGTTCTTCTAGGATGTTTGGGTCAAGTGGACTCGGGGGAAAGATTTAAAAAAAAAAAAAAAGAAAGTTAAATTTCATGACATACTAATACTAGAGTGACAATAGAGAAAAAGTAGAGAAAAGTACACGTTTTGCTATGGTTTTGTGTAAGCCTATTATTTATATCATTCTAAATAATTGGAATGCCATTATGGCCTTTTGTTTTCTCTTTGTTATTTGAATGTCAGTTGTTTATTTTTTAGTGAAACAGAACTTAAGAAAAAGTAGAAAAGTACAAGCAGAGGAAGAGTTTTCCTCACAGTGACAAATCTGAACCAGAATCACCAATCAAAAGACACAATAACTAAAGCCACGGAATTGAAATTAAAGAAAGGACCCCAATTCCTAACCAAATCTGAAAAAATTGGCCTACCAAACTCTTTGCCCCCGTTTGGTTCGCTGGTTTGAATTTTGATGATTTGAACTTTTTTAATTGAACAGAACTTAAACTGTATGGTTTAAATTGTAGTTCGAATTGGTGTTGGATGTGCAATTAAAATTTTCATCTGAACAGGGAATAAAATTTGAATTTATGTTTGGTAGGTGTGAAAAGCAGAGTGTGGAAACTTTTAACTGTTGCAAAATTCTTTGAACAGTCAAACTTAAGGGGGGATTTAAAGTCTAAATTGGACAGTTTAACTCAGTTCAAACAAGGAATATAATTCGAACTGTGTGCTTACCAAACATGAATTCAAACTGTGCTCATCGTTCAAACTGAGTTAAACTGAACTAAACCAGTGAAACAAACTAGAGCCTTATCTCTATAAACCCAAGTACAGAACCAAAGCTTAATTTTATCCCATAGGACAGAACTCCCTTCCATATGCTCTTCGAATAATCTACCATTTCTCTCTAGCCAAATGCCCTAGAAAACTGCTAAAATGGCGACTTTCCACAGAATTCTGCCCCTAAGACTAGAATGAGAGCGAGGAGATAATTCAATAAGCTCTAGGCAAGATTTAGGCATTGCCCACACCAGACCAAATTCCTTCAAGAAAAACAACCACACTTGAAAAGAATTAAGAGCGGTGTAAAAACAGATGGTTGGCCGGTTCCCCCTCGTTCCTACATAGAATGCAACATCCTGGTGAAATCGAGATAAAAGGGCTCCTTGGCTGCATCAAATCGTGAGCATTCAGTTTCTCAACGACAATAAGCCAACAGAAAACCTGAAGTTTAGAAGGAACTCGGGTATTCCATATGCTATTATATAAAGAAAAAGGGTGAAGCATGCCTATCAGCAACGGAACATAAGAGCGAACCCAAAATGACCCGTTTGGGGCTGGAACCCACACTCTTCTATCCTGCAGAACATCAATGAGATGGAAACCCTCCAGAATAGAAATTAGCTCCGAAACTAATAGGAACTTGTTAATTGGTTAGAGAAGTTAGTAGTTTGTTAAATTTGGATTAGCAGTTGGTTAGAGTAGGTTAGTAGTTTAAATAAGGGGTTTAGATATAAATGTGGGGAATCTGATCAGTGGGTTGTTTTAGGGAAAAAGAGTCTTGGAGAGTCTCCAAGCAGGGGAGAGTAACCAGTCTCTCGAATTACTGGACTTTACTTGTACTCTTTCTTAAGTTCTCAGATCAATAAAGTTTTTTAGTTCAATCTTTTGTTTCCCTTCTTGTAAGAAAGGGCCAGAGTCTATCATTTTGGTATCAGAGCATACTTTTCTGGGCATGGCTGAAGAGGAATTCGACGGAAGGTTGGATGAGTTAGAGAAAGAAATTAGAGAAATTCACGAATCAGTGATTAAGGGAACTGGGGAAGTTAGAGAAGTTAGGGAAACTTTTGCTCAAATTCGAAAGATGATGGAAGAATAGAGGCTATTCTGGGCAGCATCAGCGAGAGCAAAGTCGTCGACGGTGGAGGTCAGGGAAGCAATGCTGGCGTCTGAGTGGAGAATCGCGGCGGAGCAATGTCAGAAATCATTGACGAAGGAGACGCAACCTGTTTTAAGCGTCGATTTTGAAGATTCTTGCAGAGTCACAGCAGAATCGGGTGTCTACGGGACTGGGTTTCATGATTCCAGTCCAATTGGTTCCTATCTTCACGTGACTAGGGTTGGGGTTAGCAACTCCGGCGGGATAGGTTCCGATTTCGGCAATTTGGGGGCTGGGTCTCGTGAATTCAAGAGTCGTTAGGGCTGATTTTGGAGCGATTTTGACTGGGTCTTCGTACCACAGATTCAATGGTAGGCCTTCAATACCAATCCAGCTATTTCTTGCTTCAATTTGGACATAATCCCATCAAGAGTACATGCTCCACAGTTGGATGCTGGCTATGATGGCTCCAATATGAGACAGATTTTTTTCTGTTATCAGAGAATTCCTCTCCTTTTCATCCCAAAACCATGAAACTGCCCTGTCAGCTGCCATGGGAAATACCTCGATAGACCTGCCCAATCTACTTTCCATTAATCCTTTGACAACTTCCCATTGCATGTCGAATCTTTTTCTGAAAACTACAACCACCATCTTCCAAAGATTTCAGTGTTGTTGGGGGTGCAAACTCTTGCTTTGACAATAGTGAGTTTGCTAGTTTTCCTCTACTTTCTTTTCTCCATTCATGTTCTTTACTCCCCTCTTGTCTCCTGGATTTTCTTTCCTTCCATAGCTCTCTTCAGCTTCTTGGTTATTTCTCCTGTTGAAAAAGCTCTGGAGACAGCCTCTAAACTTTTCCCAACCTTGAAAAGCATACTCCCCTGGAATTACTATATTTCTTATTCCACCATTCTTTATCTTCGAAATTTTCATGAAGTCGCCCCCTTTGTTCCTGTTGCATTCTATTATCAGCTTGTAGCCCGTCCCTCTGTAAAACCTTCTGAATCCTCCCTCCTAGCCATTGATCAGAGCTTTGATGACTTGTATGCACAACCATGCCGCGCATCCTAGCTCCACTTGTATTGGAAAAACTGCGAACTCTGTTTCTCTCAGGAATCCCAATCTCTCTCCCAGAGTCATCTAATTTAAAAATGAATACTTTTGTATTTCGTTCTAAAATCTTGATCAAAGTGTTTGTACCTCATTTTATCGAGGAATAATCATCTATGAAAAAGACCAAGAATCTAGCCTATTAGAATTCTAGATAGGGAAGAGCTTCTCCCTCTACGATGCCCAGAAGGACCCTGACAAAAGGAGCCCAACTTCTAACAATAGCTGAAATAAAAACTACCAATTTCCTTATCTTTATGATTTAAGAAAGCTATCCAAAATTTTGATTTTTAGTCCACATAGTATTTCTGGTTTTTTCCCTAGAAATTACCTGTACAATTGACTGTGCACAAAACTTCCCTGAGAGAACAGCACCCTCCATTGAAGCCAAATACTTCTGTTTTGTGTAGTCGCCTGCTAAATAGAAGCCTTCTATAGGAGATCTTTGCAACGGACGACAAGGTTCACAATCTGGAACAGTTTTGTAAACAGACCTGAGATGATAATAAAACTGAATTCAGAAAGAGAAATGGAGTAACCCGACTACTAATAGTAATACCCAAAATCTTATTCATATTTTCTTTCCATCAAAGGGCACTGTTTTCGTTCATAGTTCTCTATTGGAAAGATGTAAATTTCTTTTTTTTTTATAAGAAAAACCTTTTACTGATAGTCATCAATTACAAGGAAAGAGGATGAGAAATCCTGATAGCAAAATAAAAAATAAGTAGGTCTAAGAATACAACACAGTAACATCAAAGTAGGTCGATTGGAAACATGTAATGAGGAAGTACGGTTATTTGTAATTTGTTTTGTAGTTTCGTTTTGGAGTTTTTGTCTTATTTTGACTTCCATTTTTCTTTTTGTTTTTCTTGTTTTGGTGGACTTCTTGTCCTCCTTTCTTGTAATTGGGTATTATCAATAGAAGGCTGCTTATTATATTAAAAATAAATAAATAAATAAACTCATGGGACTTTTTCAGACAGATTTTTCCTTTAGTGAACGGAAATAGCAGGAAAGAAATAGTTTAAATTATTGGCTATTGTGTCAAACCTTGGTGTTTTTACAACATGGTATTTCAAAATTTTTGCTTTACTCTGATCTGCCGCTATTTCATCAGGAAAGAGCTTAGCAAGTTCCTTCATTGTAGCATCAATAATTTCTGAGTCACTACATGAAATCCATTCTTCAGCTGGTGCAAAAACTAACTCCAGCATAGACTGGTTTGGACTGTAATATTCCTGCAATGAACAAGAAAACAGTACCATTACAAAGTTGGGGAAAGAAAATGAAAGGAGATGATTAGCCTAGTAAATCCTCATTTGTCTTAATTTTTGCTTCTTTTCTTTTCAACGAGTAAAGTAACAAATTTCTACCAAATTTAGCATGGATATTAGCAATAAACAGTAGTTACCTTACACGTTACTGACATATCGGCATAGACACTTAGGAGAGGACTTCTGCACGGTAAAAAGAAGTTAACATACAGAACTGAATATGAATAGCACATGAAAAAAAAGGAAAAAAAAAAGGACACGTCTATAATCACATGCAATCAGATGCCAGAAGCATCAGAAACACATATGCAGTCCATTTGCAACACTGGGAGCAGAACACATGATTTTATAGTCAGTTTCAGAAAATTTGATCAAAAGCAATAAGATTTTGAATCAGGAAGGCTCGGAAAATGATTAGGATATAATTTTAAGCAAACAATGGTGCAATGTCTTTTGATGAGGTTGAGTAATTAAAAAGTAAACAACTCAAAAGGATAGCATAAAAATAAAACAAAGTAGAAGAAGGACCTGCTGAAAAGCAGGTGATCATATGTGTTCTTCAATTTTCTGTCAAACCTGCAATTGAAGACAACTTTTATTGCCACCAGATCATGAAACTACAAGAAGTGAAATAATAATAAAAATAAAAATGAAAATAGCGTAATCTCACATCCCACAATAGAAAAGGCACTTTTTGCATCGTTGTATAATAGCTTTGGAGAGTGATTAGTAGCAAAGAATAATTCATCTTTAGACCCCAAATAATAGCTTGAAGGAAAAGCCTCAAATAGCTTTCCCTAATCCTTTAAGAAATATATAACCAAAGTCTAATAATCGCAATTGACTCTTTAAATGATTCGACTTTTTCATTTCTGGTAATTTCTAGGCAAATTAGTTGAAAATTAAATCTACAACACATATTTGGTAAGTTGTGAATAGAACCTTTTAACTTCTGAATTCCACCCATGCGTGATCAAGGACTTCATTGTCTAATGAGAATTTATTAAAATACTTAAGTGTGATTAGATTCTGGTGCTTGTGCGCGTGCATGCGTGAGTGTGCGCGTGCGCGCGCAAGACAGAGAGAGAGAGTGTGTCAGCATCCATCACTAACCATATGTGAACATTGATAACGGGAACTCCAACTAATTTCTCCAATTTCTTGAAATATGGAATCTCTTTCCAGTTGTCGGGCAATAAAAGCTTTAGGATATCAACTGTTTGGAGCAAAGTTATTCAAAGAATTAGCAAAATTAACACTCTGAGTTTCATTTGAACTTTATTATTTGAAAGGAAAGTGAGTTCTATACCTGGAGTCGCAAAAACGTATACATCCCCTTCTATCGCACTTCCATTAGTTAGTAAGAATCTCTTTACTGTTCCATCATCATTTAGGTCAATCTTTTGTATCCGTGAATTAAGCTCGACTTCACCACCCAATGACTGGATATGCTCAACTATCGGCATACAGAGTCTCTCTGGTGGATTCCCATCCAAGAAGGCCATCTTGGAACCATGCTTCTCCTGTTGATGTATTACCCTAAATTATTATGGTGTGGTAAGGAAGATGCATTCCATAGTATATACACCCCATGCAACTTATAAAAAAAGAAAAAAAAAAAGAAAAAGTCGTTGTAGATCTTCTAGAAAGAATGCACTTGGCAATATCTTGGCTTCACCTATTCTGCTTTCAAATGCTTCACTCAACACACACACACACATGCGCACGCACAAACACATTTATAAATGTATTAAAAGAACATGGAAAGGTTGAAAATTATAAAATGCAAAGACAAAACAATCCTTGCAGAGGTGGAAAGTTGTAGCAATATCAACATTCGCGCATCAGTATATTATACCTATCCAATTCCTCAAATCTCAGTCTGTTAGACGACTTGATCTAAATCGCCAGAAATGTTATTAATTCTGCAGTTGTAAGTTTAGTTATTCAAACTTAAGATCTAGGTTCCTTTATTAGTTTCTATGTGTTGGTATGAAAACAGTTCCAATTCCATCAACATCATGCATGCTGTATGAATAATGATTATTTTACTTTTCCTTTACAAGTGTTGATCTAGATGAGATGGGTAATATTTTGTGCAAACATTATGGTAAGAAGAACCATACCTGAAGAAAACGGTTTAACGCAATCAATATACACTGCATTGAAAGTTCATCAGGGTTGATAAAGTTTAGGGCCTTTGACATGGCAATAAACACCTCATCAGTTACGCGATCAGGTATGCCCTGGACCAAAAAAAAAAAAAAAACAACACCAACAACAACAATTATGTCATCACCTGCTCTTCATACTTGCAAAATATCCACCACGATTGGTAGAATACACATTAGAGCAACAAATAGAGAAAGGGAACATGCATAAATAAATAAAAACCATCATGGCAAGCATAGTAACTACTGTTATTTACTATCCCCTCTCCTCATCCTCAAACCACCATACCTGTTTTATCATCCATTCTTTAACGGTTAAACCATCTTGTGCTTCAACATAAGGCTGGCCACCAAGTATTGCTGGCAGCAGTCCGATTGCAAACTTGACTTTCTCTGGCCATGTCAGCATCTCATTGTTCCTTAAGATGGCCCATATTCCTAACATTCACATACCATTATATGAAAATTGTTTAGGAAACTAAAAACTTATTAGAGAAAAGAAAAACTAATATCAACAACTTAGATGACAAGCAGTCCTCCCAAGTGAGAAACAAACTGCTGCACAGCCATGAAAGGATGCATTTCATGCTGCAACTAGGGAAAGCACATACATCATGAAAAATACCTGAAATACAGTATGTACATGAAAAAATACCTACAGGTATAATGATATTCACAGAATTTACAGTCTTTGGCTTAGAGTTGTTTGGCCATTAGACAGATGGAGTTTTTTTGTTACTGTCACATATATCTAGCTCAAGCAATAGAAACTCCAGGAATAGCAAGATTTGGATCAACTAGATACATTAAGACTTCATTATGTGCACAAGCGACCAACTACTACAACTATTTCAAAATCTTAGTTTAATTTCTAAAAGGAGAAAAACCAAATCTGTTGCGAAAAAAAGATAAGGAAATAGTAAAGGCAATGACGTATTTCTTAGTTCTTACCATTTAAGGGTGCTGGCAGCACTTCAGGGAAATCAAATCGGCTGAACTCTCCAGGTTTGTTAGGCATTGCAAATATCATAGAATGCTCTTTCCATTGTAACCGATCATCAATTCCAAGCTCTCCAAACAAGTTCTGCAAATTTGGGTAAGCTCCAACTAGACGATACAAATAAAAAGTAAAATAAGTACTAAAAGTTCAAGCTAATCAACAAAGGAGCAATTTCCTAACCTGATGGGCAAATAATTTAAATAATCTTGCATGGAAGCCATTTAAAAGAACCCAAAGGTCCACAATTAGAAATTATAACACTAGGAAATTATAAGTATAAAATAAAAAAAAAAAAAAAAATGCATTCAACTTACAGAATATATGTAACCCTGTCTCATACCAATCTCCATCATCGTCTTTCCATGCTGCCACCTAGAAAAGAAGAAGATCCCAAATTAGCAAAAACCTTTTTCACTTTTAACTATTTTGGAACAACCCAACAAGAGAAAAGGAAGATTCCAAATTAACAAAAACCTCTTTGAGCCTTTCGAGCAGGTGCAATTCTCATTATGCTTTGGGGGTAAATAATTTTTATTGCCTTGCGCTAAACTAGTTCACTATTAATTATATTATTGGTCATGTGCTAGAATTAATCCATTCAGTATCTTTACTTCAGAACTCATGACTAATTCCTTGTTCCATGACTTAATTTAATAAACATAATACGATAGAGGTCTACAAAAGGAGCCTAAAAGTGACAGTGTTCAAAATGTTCAGCACCAATTACCAAGTGAACAATGAGTAACATAAAAAGCACCAGTTTGCTGTTAAAATTGGATAAACCAGATTAGTTTAAAAACCTTTCCACCTAAAACATCTCTGGCTTCCAGTAATAGAGGTTTATGACCTGCATCTGCCAAGTATTTTGCAGTACATAAACCGGCCAAACCTACAATAATTTGGAAAATGCTTAGCAGCAGACCACAGAAATAAAAAATCACGTATTAAAGTCTTTGACGTGTATGAACAAACTATAAATTCTGTTACTTATTATTCAGAACAGAATCGCAGTGAATCATTAACATAAATACAGAAGATTGTGGACTCCAATAACTAAAGCTGAAACATAAGACTAAACGAATAAATAACACAGCAGTCAATTATTCAAAAGCCAAAGCAAAGAAAGTCCTGCTAAGAGATGTTCTCTCACAAAGAATTCGCTCAAAGAACAATCCCACGTAGAAAACCTACCTAGAAAATTTTCTCTATGATGCCATTGCATAAAAAAAAACCACACCCTACCTCTATATACACTGCCAAATGGATTCCACAAATTTAGCATTAACCATGCAGTATCAAACACCAAACAGGGATTTAGCCTAAAATAAAAAAAAATAAAATAAAAAAAAAGAGAGAAGAGATAGAGAGAGAGAAGAAACAGGGAACTTAGAGAAAATTCTGACAACAAGAACAGTCAAGAAAATCAGGGTATTCTATGGCCCTCCGCATTGAATGTCCTACATCGTAACATGTAGAAGTAAAAAGTGCAACATAATTGATGCAATAACCATGTTGAAAAAATGTATCACTAGTCTGTGACCAAAAAACAAAAAACAAAAAACCACACTGTTGCAGTTTTTCAACTAGATTTGCAGATCGTTACATAGAATAACTGACATGTTACTCCTGTTTCTATATGTTACACCTTTGCCAATCATTATACACTCATCACTATACTGCGTAAAATTAAGATTTTAAAACAGAGAAATGCTCAAACTATTGTCTACCTGCACCAGCAATCACGACTTTCAAAGGTTTAGCCGGACGAGGAGAGCTACGAAAAGAGGCAGACAAGGAAGCAGCTTCTAAGAAGTTAACAGTGTTGTCCAGCTCGGGCCTTGGATAATCCACACAAACTACCTGTTCCACAAGCCAAAGCAACATAACCACAAAATTTTCAAGAAACAAGAAAACAATCAAGAACACACCAACAAACCTTCAATGGCGAAAACGAAACACCCTTCTTCTGTCTTCTACCAACAGCCCGAGAAGACGAAATTCTCGACCCGCGAGCCAAAAATTCTCCATACCCAAAAGCCAAAGAGTCCATCTTCTGCGAACCCAGATAGAAACAGCATCTGGGCATGTTCCCTCCGTTCCGACCATCCACGGCGGCGCTTGTTTTTTGCCAGCCCAAGTTGGCCGCGGAAACACAACCCCACTGAGACATTTCGTCGAACGGACGGCGGTCAAATTAAAAATATGATCAGAATTCACAACCCCACTTTTGTTTGTCGACTCTGGATTGAATTCCGGTGGAAGGAAAGATAGTGGAGAAGAAAGTGCGTGAGAAAGTGGTAAGCGTGGTGGGATTGAGAACACATGAGCTGAATTGGGTGAGTTGTCGTTTTGTGGGAGTGAGTGACGTTAGGCCGTTAGCCAGAGTGGGAGTGTTGGGGTTTGAATTGATGAATGGTCAGCGTTTGAGCATATTCTGTGATGGACGGTGAAATGGGTGAAGACAAATTAGCCGGTTGTTCTTTTGGTATTAGCATTTTAATCACTAGTGGATAAGGCATCTTTAGACAAATAACTAGTTAAGCACGCGTTGGCACGTGTGAGGCTTAATGTGAGAGTTAAATTATTTATTGAAAGGCTAATTTTGAGTTCTTGAATTCCATAAATAGAATTTCATTATTTCACTTACAATAGTAATAAATCATGAGAAAAAAAAAATGAATGTTTTGTAAACATGATAGGACTATTCTAACATAATTGCAAAGATTAATTACTAAAATTATCCATAATCTTTAAAACGTAACATTTATTTCTCATGAACAATGAAATGTTAACAAAAAAGCCTCATCCGTTAAGTTTTTAATGAGAATTTACATTTTAATTTATTATTTTGAGGATATTTTGATAATTCTAACATAATTGCAAAGTTTAATTACTAAAATTATCCATAATCTTTAAAACGTAACATTTATTTCTCATGAACAATGAAATGTTAACAAAAAAGCCTCATCCGTTAAGTTTTTAATGAGAATTTACATTTTAATTTATTATTTTGAGGATATTTTGATAATTCTAACATAATTGCAAAGTTTAATTACTAAAATTATCCATAATCTTTAAAACGTAACATTTATTTCTCATGAACAATGAAATGTTAACAAAAAAGCCTCATCCGTTAAGTTTTTAATGAGAATTTACATTTTAATTTATTATTTTGAGGATATTTTGATAATTCTAACATAATTGCAAAGATTAATGTGAGAGTTAAATTATTTATTGGAAGGCTAATTTTGAGTTCTTGAATTCCATAAATAGAATTTCAGTATTTCACTTTCAATAGTAATAAATCATAAGAAAAAAAAAATGAATGGTTTGTAAACATGATAGGACTATTCTAACATAATTGCAAAGATTAATTACAAAAATTATCTATAATCTTTAAAACGTAACATTTGTTTCTCATGAACAATGAAATGTTAACAAAAAAGCCTCATCCGTTAAGTTTTTAATGAAAATTTACATTTTAATTTATTATTTTGAGGATATTTTGATAATTCTAACATAATTGCAAAGATTAATGTGAGAGTTAAACACACGTTGGCACGTGTGAGGCTTAATGTGAGAGTTAAATTATTTATTGAAAGGCTAATTTTGAGTTCTTGAATTCCATAAATAGAATTTCATTATTTCACTTTCAATAGTAATAAATCATGAGAAAAAAAATGAATGTTTTGTAAACATGATAGGACTATTCTAACATAATTGCAAAGATTAATTACAAAAATTATCTATAATCTTTAAAACGTAACATTTGTTTCTCATGAACAATAAAATGTTAACAAAAAAGCCTCATCCGTTAAGTTTTTAATGAAAATTTACATTTTAATTTGTTATTTTGAGGGTATTTTGATAATTCTATGCTTTAGAATTTAATTTGAATTTAAACTAATTTAAATATTAAAAAAAAACCTTATAATTTTTTTTATTCTACGAAAAAAAGACTTATAAAATTTTTAACGTACATTCAATCAATAATGGATATGTCATAATTAAAAGTTCAAATTTAAATTAGTTTTAAATTCAAACTAAATTTTAAACCATAAATTTATTAAAATACCCCAAAATAATAAATTAAATATGAATTTTCGTTAAAAAAAACCTAATACATGGGATTTTTTGTTGAGATTTCATTATTCAGAGAGAAAAGATGTTACCTTTTAAAAATTAAAAGGTAAAGTATTATAAAAAGTATAATTCATGGGAGCTTTTGTAATTAATCCTAATTGCAAATGTAATTAGAGTTGATATATATATATATATATATATATTAAGTACTATAAGCCCACTAGTATGCTACCAAGGAAAGGCAAAGAGAATCAATTCAGGGTGAAAATGAAGCTATGAGAAAATCAACAAATGGTTTCATGTATATAAAGAAGGTATGCTCATAAGCAAAACTAGCACCTAAAAAATACCTTAAGAGTTGCACGATTTACACATAAATTCAAAATCAGGCATCTATTCAGGGCAAAGGAAAAGATAGAGGAAGAACTTTTAATGAGCCAGGTTAGATTTGTGCTTATAATTTGGTTAACTCTAACTTGTTATTTTGTTAGTTTTTAGTTGTTTTAGGAGTTATTTAATTGTTTTTAATTTATTTTACAGGTTAGGGTGTTGGCGATTTTTGAAGAGTTTTTAGAGTTTAAAAGTCAATATGAGCGTAGCAGCCTTTATGAGAAGAGCTTGGACGCCAAAACAAATAAAAAACAAGCCTCATGGTACAAAAACCCAAGTTTAGAGTGCCTCGGCTCCACACACGTAGCGCCACGGCGTCAAAGAAAATGTTACGCTTAGCGCTGCAATGCCACATTAGCAGAACCGCAGCGCTACTTCGAACGCATGCATGGAAATCATAGATTGCTGCCTAACATCATGGCACCCATTAAGAGAGACGCGCGCTACTTGAGGTGGTCACTCTGATTTGGGTCTTTTTCAACTTCAAAAAATTTACAAGATTGTCATTGTGACCTAAAGACTATAAAAAGGACTTTAAAGGTTGTTTTGTGCACTTTTTGACATCAAAGAAATGAGAGAAAGACTACGGTACAACTAAGGAGAAGAAGATTCATCCAAGAACGGAGTTCAACTTTGAATTCGACAAACAATTTTCTTCTTTCTCGTGCTTCTTATATTGAATTTCATTGTTATGATGTGTTCGGTTCAATTATGTTATAAATTTCTTTGCTAAGTCTATAGTTGTAGCCAAGACAATGAATATTCAGATCCAGTTTATTTTCTTTTAATGAAATAATTCATTAGGAGCCTTTCATTGTTATGATGTGTTTAGTTCAATTACGTGTAGTCATATCATGCTTTGCATATACGAAAGAACCAGCTATATATATATACACTAGAAACTTACTCTTAGACTTTGAAGTAATCAGTAATTTGAACATAATACATCGTTATACTTTAAATAAATAACGATTAAAATTCTTTCTTTAAAATATTAAGAAAAGACATTATAAGACATTAAGATTACCCAATCAATAGCCTAAACTCAAATAAATAAACTTTTAAAACTTATAGTGATTATCTGGGAAAATACTTTAATGCAGAAAATATAATGTGTAGTGGTATCCAAACCCTTGTCCCCATCACTCTGTGCCGACTAGCCAATCCATCAAGCGTTTGTAGTGCGGGAATTATCCCAAATTACCTACAGCGTGAATAATTTAGTGAGCTAGAGCTCAGTGAGTACAAATATTCCCCAAAAAAATATTTTTCACTTAATCTAATCATCCATTAAAATGCATGTATATTCATCCACTAAAATGCATGTCTATTTATACTTCATTATGGAATATCCATTTATTCTTTATTATGGAATGTCCATTTGTCATTTATGGGCCATGTGCACATATCGATGCGCGTGAGCATTGAAGCATCGGGGGAGCTACCCAAACGTTTCGTCCGACGACACACGGTCTACCTATTTAGGCTACTGGACCTCCCATCACCATGGGGCACGGAGGAATTCAATCTCTCATCCCCCAAGGCCGGAGGGCGACAGGACACTTAAACTTTCTTTTAATTATCTTATTCTTTTACTTAGGTGAGCATGTGATTTATGATTATGTTACATAAGTATAACTCAAATCTTAAGATGCATCTACTAAAGAATATTTAATTAAAAGCATACTTAAAGATTATCCTTATTCATCATTATATTCATCATCATTTATGCCACAAAAGTATATCATTAAAATATTATTAAGGCCATACATAGCATCATTCTTAGAAATCAGATCACAAAAAATTGATCCATATAGGCAAACAATGTTCAAACATTTATTTTGAAAATACATTTATTGTATTCATCATACATGTCACAAGGTATAACCATTTATAATTTACATTGTAAGAGAGACTTTATATTATATTCATTGTTCATCATCATTTATGCCACAGAAGCATATTTTTACAAATACTATAAGGGCATACATTTTATCACACCACAGAGAATCTATACAGCACAATTAGGCAAGCAATTTCTCAAACATAACATTTTAAAACAATTCATGTTGTAGGTGAGGTTTGTACTCACCTAGGCATCTGCACTTAGTGATTACTTAAAACAAACTTTTCGCGTGACATGGTGATTTTGTATACAATTAGTACCGACAATTGACTGTCAGTTCATCATTAAGGTTTTATGATTTGTTTTGTTTAGGTCATGCAAACTTGGTCTCTTGATCCTTTTTTGAGATTTAACCTCCTTAATCGTCATTTCCCTTATCCTTGCATCTTGAATTAACTAATAAGTTTAAATTTCTTCGTTAGTTAATCTCTCGTTAAACTTTTATTAATCATCCTTTACTTAGTCCTATCTTTACGCCTTAGATTAACTAGTAAGTTTAAATTACTTAGTTAATTTCTTGTTAGCTTTTATTAACCAATTTAGGTTAATTATCCTTTGTTCTATACATAACCATGTTTCTATCGTCAATTAATTAATTAATCTCCTGAATTAATTAATTATTTAAGTAATACCTGCTAATTAAATTTCATTTGTTAAATAATTATCCATCTTTTATTCTTAATTAATTAATTAATATCTAAATAAATTACGATAATTAAATATTTATTTCCCATCGTTAATTAAATTTCTAATTTAACTCACTTAATTAATTAATAACTATCCGGCTAATTTTTATTAATTATCCAATGGCTTTGAAAGTTAGCTAAGGTCACCTATAGGTTACCCCATTCAGTATCCTTGGGCATGTCCTATCCTCAAATGTTTCCATGGATGGGCTTGGACTTATTGGGCTTATTAAGCCTTAAACTTGTCATCTAGTAGGTTTTTTTAGGTAAACCTAAAGGGTACCTAATTCCTACTTGGGCTTTTGGGCCCATTTGGACTGTCATA